TGACCTTTCTGTGTCCAAGCGCATGAGCAATCTGTTGGCACACCTTCCAACAGAGACAGAAATCTGGGCAGATCTGAGGGTGCTGAAAGGGGCACATATGTGGCTGACATCAGAAGAGAGAGCTTGAAAGTAGACCTTGTGTCCTCACGCTTGCCTTCTTTTTTCTTCAAGCCACTCTTGCTGCTTCAGTCATTTATTTACCAAACGTGTTTGATTTTATGTTCTTTGGTGGAAACGGCCTCTCTTTCTCTTAAGAAAACTTTGTAGATCTTTACTGGAAAGACAATAACTGCTAAAGTACTCAAGGCTCTATTTTTTATCTAATATTGCTATTACCTGTTCCCTCATACCTAGTGTCACATCTGTCTACCTAATATTGATATTAGATGATATTTTACCTTTTGCTGTGACATAACCAACCCTGATGCCTAGTTTAATGCCTGCACCATAGCAGCAGCTTAGTATGTGGTGGCTATCATTATTAATAACACTTTTCACATCAATAATGTTATATTAGTTATAATATAATTATTATTAATATATAATTTTATGTATCATTCAGTAAAATTAGTGTCAGTAGGTACAAAGCATTAAGTATAATTGTGACATTACATATTCAGTGTTTGAAAAAGCAATTATAAAGCACAATGCTGTGAGAAATAAAAGGATATTGTACAGAAATAAAAGGGTGATATGCAGAAAAAAAAGGGTGATGTACAGAAATAAAGGGTAATGTACATATTCTTCATTCTATCCTGTCTTCTACATTTTCAGGACTATTGCATACTTTTATCTTCCCCACCTGGATGGCTTCTGTTTCTTCCCAATTTATATTTATGACTCTGATATAATTTCTTTTCAGCCAACATTGTTGGTGGATAAAGATTTATAAAATTAAATTTGATCATGTCAGTCACCTCATTCAAGTCTTTAGACAGAAGGTCTCAAACTTTACAGCATAAAGTTATCTGGAGTAAGCATTAGACAATTAGAAAGATTTTGACCCATTCCCAGGGACAGATTCAGGCCAGCTGTCAGGCCCGGGAATTGGTGTTTAAAAAGCACCTCTTGTCCTAGCTGGTTTGGCTCAATGGATAGAGCGTCGGCCTGTGAACCAAAGGATCCTGGGTTCGATTCCGGTCAAGGGTGTGTACCTTGGTTGCAGGCTTCTCCCTGGCCTTGACCCTGTTTGGGGCTCATGCAGGAGGCAGCCAATCAATGTGTTTCTCTCACATTGATGTTTCTCTCTGTCTTTCCTCTCTTCCACTCTCCCTCAAAATCAGTAGAAAAATATCCTCAAGTGAGGATTAAAAAAAGAAAAGAAAAAAGAAGAAGCACCTCTGATGATTCTGAGAAGCACTGTGTTAGTGGCCCGAGCCCGCAGGACACAGTCCTTACTCCGTGTGGACGGACCTTCATGCTCTCTAGGAGCACCCAAGCATCCGTTGCATTCTTCATCACAGCTGTGATTTCATTACCATCCATACTGTGATGCTTCCTGCCTTTATCTTTTTTCACGTCTTGCTAACTTTCTGCCAGGAGTGCCTTTTCATTGCTCAAGTTCCCCTTGTGTGAGGATCTCCCTGGTCACCCAAGGAGGAGTTGGCACTTTGCGGTTGTGTCCTCAGCTTGCAGTCCCATTTATTTATACCACTATTCACACCACATTGTAATAACATCTTCGCGTGTCACTATTTAACTGTCACTTCTGAGTTCCTTGACTAGAAAAACCTTCTTATTTATCTTTGTATCTCCAGTGTCTTGCAGAAACATAAGTGAATGCGTTATGAGTGAATTCAATACAGGAATGAATTTCAAAGTCTTGACTTTTTTTTTACTTTGTGTTTTATGTAGTGTAAATTTATCTATTACTTACGTACCTAAGGTTCTTTAGCTGTTGAATGGAAATAGTATTTATTTTCTACCTTCCTTTAAACATCATTCATTGATTTATACAAAGGAAGCAGAATTAGTGACAATTCTGGAAATAATTTTTGGAAGAGCAGCCACTTGAGATCCTTCTTGAAGAATGGGTAGAAGCATGACTTGAGTGGCAGTAGGGAGATTGAGAAGGGAGCTTCATGCTGGCATAAATGCTGCAAAGGTACAAATGTCTGGCTCTTGTAAACTGTGGAATTTGGTTGCAGTAGAAGATGTAAGGGTTGTGGTTAGAGATGAATTTGGAGGAGTAGGCAGCAGTCTATTTTGGAGGATGTCTTGTGCTTTGCAAAGATTTTTTCCTTGGTTTATAAAATGTAATTGAAATCTCTTAAACTAGAAAGAAACACTTCTAGATGGGAGGAGAATTTGAGAAAGAAAAGACAAGTTAAGGGGATTTTGTAACTTTATGATAGAAGAATTGATTAGCAATTAAAAATAATTTCATAAAGATTTTTATAATGTTCCTTGTTCATTCTGCCAAGTACTCTGATAGGTTTAGATTTATATAAGATGAGTAAGGCATAGTACCCATACAGTACACAAAAATATAAATAACATAAATTAACTAATCATGTAAATATAGCTAAGACATACAAATCCGTGTTGTATAGTAGTTATAAAATGTTATGGAGGCTGGATTCATTGTGGACTAACTTTCCTGGGAGGACTAGGGTTTTGATGAAAGAGAAGGGACTGGAGTAGAGCAAAGAAAAATATTTTTGGCAAAGGAATAAATAAAAGAGTTACTGGGCCCCGCTGGTGTGGTTCAATTGGTTGAGCATGGTCCCATGCACCAGGAGGTTGCCAGTATGATTCCTCGTCAGGGCACATTCCCAGGTTGCAGGCCTGATCCCCAGTAAGAGGCGTGCAGGAGGCAGCCGATCTACGCTTCTCTCTCCTCGATGTTTCTATCTCTGTCCCTCTCCCTTTCTCACTCTCAAATCAATAAAAACTTATTTTTTAAAAAAGAGTTAATGGGAGAGGAACCATGGTTTGGTGCTAGAACCTGTTGTGAAAGCTGGAAAGTATTTGGGCCTTGAATGTTGTGCTGAAGGATTTTGCATTTTATCTTAGAGCTTTCCTTTCTAACTATGAAAATAGTATATATTGATTATGTGTAATAAATATGAAGAAAATGAAAATCTTTTATAATTTCAATACAAAATGTAATTAATATTAACATTTTCATCTATTTTCAGTGTTTTTCACCGTGTTCATATATGTACTTACGTATGAAATAAATGAAGTCAGAACCACTGTGTGTGTGTGTATGCACATATATCTGTAATTTTTATCTCACTTAAAATTAGAATGTTGTCATTTTGCCATGTAGTTAAATGTGCCCAGAAAGCATGATTTGTAGTGATTGCAATATTTACTCTATTATATGGCTATTCTTAAATTCTTAAATTATTTACCTGTTTTCTTATTGTTAGATTATATAAGTTGTTTTCAGTTTTAAAGTAATGAATACTGTTTCACTGAACATCTTTGTACATAAATCCTGTCTGCATTTCTGATTACTTAGGATGGGGTTCTAGAAATAAATATTCTGGATCAAACAATCTCAGGGGTTCAGAATGTATTTTGTCAAATTACTCTGCCAAAAGCTGCAATTTAAAGTCATACCTACTGGCTTTGACTTTCATTGTACTCCTGGCTCAGTATTTTTTAGTGTATACTGTTTGCTAATTTTGTAAATGGTATCTTGTGGTTATTTTAATCGTTATTCCCTGACCACTACACTGAGCAAGTTTTTCCTTACATTTATAGACTATCTATGTTTCTTTTATTGTGAATTGTCCTTGATTTTTATGGTATTTTTTCCATTTTATTTTTTTTTTTGATTTTAATTGTTATATAGATTATAATTTTATCAGTCCTATTTCTGTCACATTTTATTCCAATTTCTTATTTGCCTTTCAGTGCTTTTATAGTGGTGAATTTTAAATTTAACTATGTCTGGAAAGTTTGTTCTCACAGATATAGCCACCTATATTTTGATTTAGTTTTTAATACTTTTGTACTTTCTTTTTCTTTCAATAACCCATGATAAAGGCAGTTCTTTGGAAGAAGACTGACATAATTAGATTTGTGCTTCAGAAAGAAGTCTGTGGCTCTGTGGACAACGGGTTGGAGTAGGGAGAGACTAGGGTAGGGGTAGTGGAACCTGTTTAGGGGAAAGATGAGGGTCTGAATGTGGTGATAGTGACAGAGGGGATAAAATGGAATATGGGCAGGTTTTGTGGGAGTGGAGATCAGGACATATGGAACAGGAGGCACTCTGGGACATCTAAGTCCAAGTGGAAATACAGAATTGAACCTTCTTCAGGAGGCTGGTCTGGCTGCTGATGGATTTAGGGAGCTGCCTACTCGTAGGTGGTGGTTCTAATGTGGGAAGATTCAGTTTCAGGGCAGCTGACTGAGAAGGGTGGTCAGAATTAGAAGGCTCACCAGGAAGGTGTTCTTTGGGAAGCTGGTCTTACCAAAACCAATGTCAGACACTGCAAAGAGCCATATAGAAGAAGGGGCATGGTCAGAGGATAACAATGCCTTATAGAATCTAAGTAGACTTGAACATGTTCTCTGTTGAGGGAAAGGAATCTGTGAACAGGGAGAGATGGATGGTGAAGTAGAACAAAGAGGGATTTGATGGTGCAGCAACTTAAAAGCATGAGAAGCCTAATAAATGCATTATTCTCTCGGCTGGAACCATAGTTCATTCTCAGAGATTGAATTTACATAGGAGTTATTGCAACAAATTTTAATTTGTTCTATGAGTAAAAAGATTCCTGTCTTCAATAATAAGCTTTTATTTCCTTCTTAAAAATAAATGGACAATTTTATAATTATTTCAGCATAAAGTTCTGATCGTATAAGTTCATATTCTGTACATGCTGCTGATTGGCAAAGTTAGTGAGTTACTCTTAATGGTACAGATACTTAAAAAGACAGCTTAACAAGTGTTTAAATGCCTTTGACTATTTAGTGTTTCATTAATGAATATATGAAATTAAACACTTTTAATTATAACCATCTTTTAAAAATATTCATTGCAGGGAAATTTGCCTAAATATTCTCATAACTCCCTGATGGTCCAAGCAATAAAGACAAACCTAACAGACCCGGACATACATGTGCTTTTCTTTGATGTGGAAGCGCTGATTATTCAACTCCTGACTGAAGAAGCCTCTAGGCCAAACACCACGCTTATTTCCCCTGAGAATTTGCAGAAAGCATCTGGCAGGGCAGACAAAGGGGGCTCTTTTCTAACTGGAAAACGAGCAGCGGTTCTCTTCCAACAAGTGAAAGAAACCATCAAAGAGAACATAAAGGAGCACCTCCTTGACGAGGAAGAGGAGGACGAGGAGACCATGAGGCAGAGAAGGGAGGAGAGTGATCCTGAATATCGGGCCAGCAAATCGAAGCCACTGACCCTGTTAGAATATAATTTGACTATGGACACTGCAAAGTTGTTCATGTCCTGCCTTCATGCCTGGGGCTTGAACGAAGTTCTGGACGAAGTTTGTCTCGATCGCCTTGGAATGCTGAAGCCCCACTGCCCAGTGTCGTTCGGTCTCTTATCAAGAGGCGGTCATATGTCACTGATGCTTCCTGGTTATAATCGGGCCGCCTGTACACTGCCACACAGGAAAGCGGAAGAAGAAAGGAAGCTTCCAGCAACGGAGGGAGTAGGCAAGGGCACGTATGGGGTGTCTCGAGCCGTCACCACACAGCATCTCCTGTCGGTCATCTCTTTGGCAAATACCTTGATGAGTATGACCAATGCAACTTTTATTGGTGATCATATGAAGAAGGCCCCTACCAGGTGTGACCATGATAGTTTTGATTTTATTCTTTTGTTTCAAGAAAAAGAAACCTGTTTTATGTTTGTCACTGTTTATAACACCCTCCCCCCCCTTTTTTTTGGTTCTACCCACTGTAGCATTTTTGGGGCATCTCAGTGTTTCTCCCCTTTTAAATTATATGTATAGTTTAAAACCGGATAAAATTATATAGTTTCATCTATACTCAGACATACTGTTGAGCTATTTTTAAAAAATTTGCAGTGAGGGAGTAGGTTACAGTTCAGCTTTAATAACCGAATTATAGAGTAGCATTTCAGCAAATATAATCTTAGAATTATATCCAACTAACGTTTGCACCAACACTTAATTCCAAATGTATGTTTAGTTAAATGTTTCTCTACATTGTGACCCATATGTAAGGAATAATATGTGTTGAGTGATTGTTTTAAGAATATCTGACGAGTATAGTCAGAATACTTATCCTGAATTACTATTTCCTGTTTTCCAGAAGTCATGAAGGCTACTTTTTAAACTGTGGTTTTATTATACTTTAGAGCAAGTTGACAATGTTCAGATTTTTTTTTTTAAATCTAACAAACACTTAAGTAGCACTTACCTTGTGTCTGGCTCTATTGTAAGCACTGTACAGATACTTTCTCAATAAGGCTCTTAACCCTATAAGGTAGGTACTTTTATTATATTTTATTACAGGTAAGAAAACTGAGACACAGAGAGGTTAAGTAACTTGTCCAAGGTCACACAGGCAGTAAGTGGTGGAGCCAGAATTCAAAATGAGATAGTTTGCCTCTAGTGTCCAAGCTTTTTTAATGCCTTATTACTTTTTTCAGATTTTAAGGCTGAATTCTTTTAAACTCAATGTATTGTTTCATGAACTTATTTAGACCAATGATATGGGATGGACTGTAATCTCAGCATGCTAATAGTGAACAGTGAAGAACTAATCATGACATTTATGTCACTAACAGTATGTTGAAGTGTTCATAAATATTTCGTAAGCTAGAGTCACTGATAATATCTTGAATTGTTTATATTTTTAAGCTAGAATAAAGCATAAGTTGTAGCTGTGAAATTCTTACTTGCTATATGCTAATTATTTAATTTACTATATTAAAATTTGAAATGGAAAATATTAATAGGTACAAAACAAGCAAAAATCCCCATCTTCTTGGGATTGAAAATAAATTGAAAATGTCTGTATGTGTTTCTTTTGTAATTAATTTGTAATTAGAAAGTGTAATATTTTAAATTGTTCTGGAAATATAAAAATATGAATACATATATACCAGTACATGTCTTTTCTTCTTTAAAGAAAAATTTTTTTTCTTTTTCTTATTTTTTTTTTTGAAAGGCCACCTAGACCAAGCACCCCAGACCTTTCTAAGGCCCGGGGTTCCCCTCCAACTTCCAGAAATATTGTGCAAGGACAAATTAAACAAGGTAAAATGAAATCTTATTAAGTAATTGACATGGCATCTTAGCTGTAGAAACTGAGGAGGCACAGCTAATGTATAATCATAACATTTTGTTTGTCTCAGATTGTTAAGAGAGAGAAAAGTTGTTATATTCCAGATGTAAATATAGATAATTAAGATGTCAGTTAAAAATAAATCAGATTTATTTAGAAATTGATAAATGAGCATATTTCACATAATTTTATTGTACTGCCTTTGGCCTTATTTTTATGCATTAAGGGCACCTTAACTTGACACATTGGTGCCTTATTTATGTGCATCTTGACTTTAAAACTTATACCTGTTGTTAAGTTTATATTTCTATACTCTAGCTATTCTTCTTCCATTTGCCAGTAGTTCATGCATTGCAAACCACAAGTGAAAATCCTTTCTTTTTATTTAAATCATTAGATTTTAACTTTTGTCTGTAGCTTTTTCATTAGGTGATAGAAGAAGAAAGGTTGAGTTTCTCTTTATTATCTTTTATACTCATTTTAGGGCTGACAAGTGAGCTCAGCAGAGAGTTGGAGGTGGGGCAGGGTCACTTCCACTTTGTGAGAGCGTTCCTTCCAGCTGAGAGTCGTGACTCACAAGATGTGGTAGAAGTAAGAGAGGATGATGAAGGCTCTGCTTGTAAATGATGACATTTTAGAGTGTTCTTTTTTTCCTTTTAGATTTAAAATTATACAGTTTTAAACCTCTTTAGGTTTTAAAGAGGCAGTGATTTGCTAGGTGAACAGCAGGTCTCTAACTTCATATCTACAATTTTCCCCTTCCCTGGGACAAGGACTTTTCTCTCTCTTAGCTGATTATTTGGCATGTATTTTAATGCCTTAAGTGGGATGCTTGATTTTAGTTTTGGGTACTGTCTGTTGGCTTCTCATTATGGAAGACCAGCTCTCACAGTCTCTACACCACTCCCATCCTTCATTCCAACTCCACATGGTCCGTCACCCCTCTTGTTTATCAGTTTTCGCATTAAGCTTATATGTTATTTTATGGTTTATATTAGATTATATAAAAGTTAATAGTTTGGGTTATGTAACTCTTTATACTTGTACACTGTATATAAAATGTAATATACATCTAGAAAAGTGCACAAAACAGATCTGTAGTTCAGTGATTTATGCAAGCTAAACACCTTTATCAGGAAACAACAGTGCAGTGTTCCCAGAGCCTCCTTCACTTGTGCAAGCTAAACACCTTTGTCACCACGGCCTTGGGCAGGAAACAACAGTGCAGTGTTCCCAGAGCCTCCTTCAGGTTCCCTCCCAACCAGACCTTCCCCTGCCAGAGGCAACCATCCTGACTTTCAAGAAATCACTTTCTTTCTTTCCTTTGTAGTTGCACCCCCTAAGTTTAAATTCCTAAACATAGTTTGCCCATGTTTTGAATTTTATATGAATTCAATCAGTCATGGAGGATGTATTCTTTTGTATTTGGCTTCTTTTGTGAGATTTATCAATATTGTTGCATTAGACTGTGGCTTGTTCACTTTCATTGTTCATTTTTATTACTGTATAGTGTTCTGTTGAATGAATAGACCACAGTTTATTCATCCATTCATTCTGTCAATAGACATTTGCATTATTTCCAGTGTTTGGTTTTCATAAATAATTCTGCTATGGACATTCTTGTATTTGAATCTTAGTGTACATTATAAGCATTTCTGTTGTGTGTATAACTCAAAGTGGAATTTCTGCATATATTTATCTTCAGCTTTAGCAGCTAACGTTAATGTGTTTTTCTAAGTGAGAGATGAATATACATCCGTCAAAATGGCTAAAGGGAAAAAGATGGAAAATATTGTTGTGCTTTTATGACGTGTTGGATGTGATTGGAGCAGTGCTGTATGTCTAAAGCTAGCTGTTTCCCATCGCCAACACAAGCCCTTCCTGAGTACTTTATCTATTGCTCCGTGAATTAGGGATTTTCCAGTCAGGCTGCTAGGAGCAGGCACTGTCTCTGGCCCTTTGGTAGGTTCTTTCCCAGCCTGGAGTTGTTTCCTAACACACATGTACTCATCAGTACTCTGCTGAGTATCTGAAGAACCTTGATCTTCGTAGCTCTCTCATCTCTGTCCTGTGAATTCTAGCTGCCCAGTTTCCTGAGACTCAGCTGTCTTCCCAACTCAGGGAAACTGCTGGGCTCTTCCTCAGTACCCCTCCCTCCCTTCTTGCATCTTGTCCTAGAAACTCCCCCAAGGCAGTGAGCTGAGGTGTTCATAGGGTCACTTTGTCTTCCTGACTCTCAGTCCCTCTTGATGTCCTGTGGCCTGGAACCATTGCTTTATGTATTTTGCTTTGCTTTTTTATGGTTGCATCCTGGCCAAAAATAGAAGTTCTTCTTTTCACATGTAAAATGTTCTGACTATACCATTATCTTATAAAGTAAAAATTCTTTATTTTGTATAGTTTTCACATTTTTAGAGCGTTATTTCAGAGAGAAATGGAAACAGACCCACACAGGTATGACATAAAGTACAGATATTGTGATTAGAACACAAGCAGCCCCTTTTAGCTCTAGATCGAAATTCATTGACAGCATCTTTCAGATTATACGGTACAAATCAGTGGCAGGGCTCCCCTACGTTTAGTTAGTTTAAAGCTTCATTTAAAATCTGTTCTTGTTAGAGATATTGCTTGTCATCATCATTATCTTCATTATCATTCTTTACTGTTGATGTTTCTTCTTGGATTTCATTTTTGTTCCTCTGTAATTATAGCGGATGCAAGCACTTGATTTCTTAAAACAGAAAAGCTGCCGTGCCAACTACCAACGTGCTTGTCTTCCTAAGGATTAGTGAAACACCAGGCAAAATTGTTTCAGCACAGCCTCACATGGGGATAGACTGACACAGGTCTATTGTTCAGTTCTAGACATAACTTTTTCAGCTGTATTATTTTTCATTAAATCTTGAGCTTTTTATTTTGGAAGTGGTACTTTTTCTTATTTCTATTGCTGATTTTTTCTGTATGTGAAAAATGTATTTAAGAGCTGTAGGGTTAAAAGCTCTAGCAGCATTTAATTTCAATATTCTCAATTAATTATGAAAGTAGTTTCAGTTATGACATAGACTGATTAAAGTAGTGTAAATAGCTTTTTCTTTATGAGATGTCTATTTAAACAGGATTCCAGAAATATAATACCCAGAATCTGTTTATTTTTATCATTAAAAATAAAGATACTTATATTGAACACTGTTTTATTAAGACACATTATTCTATCAGCTTTGTCAGTAGCATTTCTAGTTTCCTTTAGACTTGTGACTTAGAGAAAACATTCTAGTTTAATCCCACTATTTGACCCATGTAAGATAATGATTGTTTAGCCCTACACTTTTATTTACTTACTAGAGGCCCAGTGCACAGATTTGTGCACCGGTGGGGTCCCTTGACCTGGTGTGCAGGCATCGGGCCAAAACTGGCTCTCTGACATCCCCCGAGGGGTTCTGGATTGTGAGAGGGCGGTTCTCGGGTGACACACCCTGGAATCAGGCTCCCTCCTCTCTGGTTCTGGGTGTGTCCCCCGACAACTGCAGCAGCCAAGTCACTGCAGCTCCTGCATTGAGCGTCTGCCCCCTGGTGGTCATTGTGCATCATAGCTACCGGCTGGTTAGCTGGTCACTTAGGCATATATATATGCAGTGAAGTTCTTTTGTAACCATGGGCCAGCTGCAGGAAAACAGCAGGAAACTCCTTCTAGTGTCCTTTCAGAATTAAGGGTAAAACTAGATAGCGTTAATAATCTCTACTGGGATCATAACAATTTCTCACTTTTTAAAAAATGTGAAATTGCAGGAGTGTCCCTGCTGTTGGAAATCACCAGAGGAACTTTCTCAACAATTTTGTTAACATGAAAGCTAAAACCTGAAACTTTACTCCTTGCCACTAAAGTTTACCAACTTTTTGCATGAGGCAATGAATACTTTATAGGCTCTAATAATTGAATTTGTAATTAAGCAGGATTTAAAATGGACAATAAAATTATTCAGTGGAATATAGAAATTTTTGGGATTTCTTCGCAAGATTATTTTGCAATGTTATTATTAGATCTTATGAAATATACAATTAAGAACAGCCCTATTCCTTTTATAAGCATAGCATCATACACTAATTAAAATTTCATAAGGACCAAAAGCAGTCTGTTATACTAAAAAATAACTTCCCAGATGAAACTTTTTTTGTGTGCAAGATCTGCTTCTTAGGGTTCATGGAGTTGGCTTTTTGGTTTCTTACTCCTGTTCATGTACTTCTTTTAGTTCTGTTGTTTCCCTCACACGTGCCTGATTGACATTATGATGCATTGGTGTGGGAATTATGAAAAGTTGTTTTCCTGCAGCTGGCCCATGGTTACAAAAGAACTTCACTGCATGAAAAGCAAACATATCACTCAGCAGACAATACTTAATCTGTGCAGGAGCCCAAACCTATTGCTGTTCAGTGCAGAAGAAAGGAGAGGGATTAATTTGAAGATGCTTGTGCATGACATATGGTAATTTCTCCATAGGAAGGAAGTGTCAAATGGTGACCTCTAAATCTTAACATTGACCCCCAGTTGTAGAATGTGTGTGCCATACGGTCCTTTTGCCTTTTCATATGATAATTTAAGCTGAACCATTTTCCTGGCAGCATAACTTTTGAAAGAGCATTTTATAAAGACTATAACATTCACAACAATTACTCTTAGAATATAAAGCTTTTGTATAGTAAAAATATTTTTTTTTGAACTCCAAAGAATGAACCTATGTCAGGATTCTCCTAATAAGAATATATAGTACATATATTCTTTATAAGTTGGCATATTTTAAATGGAGTTTTGATCATACGAGGGTGGGAAATTGAAATTATTTCAGTGGATATTGGTTTGAAAGATTAGAAAATAATTTATACATAATGTTAGAAAATCATTAGAAAAAATGTAAGACCAATATGAACTTTACATTATGTGATACATTTTCAAAATTGAGTTACACTTTGCTAATTTTTAATGTGTTGACATTTTTTCATGGTTGCCTTATTTTGTTTTAGAACTGTTTCTATATTAGCTGATATATCATTCAATCTAATATTAAAGAGATCTTGGTTTTAAGAGGAATTTGAACTACACTGTGATTGCTATTCAATAAAATATATCATTTCCATGCTGTGATCTTTAATGACCATGCCTGTCTGATTAAAACATCATTTTTTAGTTCTACATTTACTATATTTTGCCAACTTTGTTTTCATTCTTCACTAATACTGAGCTTTTTTTCAGAAACTGCTGTACCTCAATTCTCTCTTTTTTTATTTCTCCTCTTTTCCTCTGCAAGTTCCTGCACCTGTCATTTCCGCTCGGTCTGATGCTGATCACTCTGGCTCTGACCCCACTTCTACTCCTGCTTTCCATTCCTGTTTCTTAGTAAATGAAGGTATTCCCTCTCAACTTCTACCAACTTTCTTTCAATCTGTGCTTTATTCTAATTTGACATGTTCTTTTTTTAATCTAATTTATACACTTATCTGCTTTGGTATGTATGAGATGGTAAAGTTTCCATGTTCTAACTTTATTTGCTAATGTCATTGATAAGGGCCAATTATAAAAATGTAATGCTATGCCAGGCTGGAATAAACCATGTTTCCTGCATCTAGAATGCTGTTAAAGAGTGGCCCAGATGCTAATCTTTGATGTGAAGTGGGTGTTGAGAGGTGCATGGTTTTCATGATAATGCTTGCCATGGGAACCCTGGTGTTAGAGCTGCCAGTTTATTTTTACCTGTAGCTTACCTGTGAGAGACATACCTTACTCTCTTTACACACCATGTGCCCTGCTTAGAGGGGGATGTCACAGGTCCCTTAATTTACGTTTTCATTTGAAAAGTCTTCACAATGACGATTAGCAGCAGTGATTATAAACTGATGAGGAGTCACCTATTTTATCTTACTTACTATTTCTCTTTCTGGCCGAGTCAAAAATGGGTCCTTTTAGTTTTTAAGATGTAGTTAAGCTATCATATTATCCCTGTGGAGTTACACTAGTGGGAAGTCTTTTTGAAATGGAACCTACAAATCTTTATACCCCACTGGGATTATTTATACTGCCTGGAAGCTTAATGGAACTTGTGAGCTCTTGGCTATATTCACTCTCTTCATTGTGGGTTCAATCTTCACCAGTTTGGTGAAGATATAAATATCTGATTCACTTTCTAAGAAAAGAGATCAATAAGAACTTTAATATATATCCCTCTGTTGAAAATAATTTATTATCTAAAAGTACATACTGATCACGTTAATTAATGTAATTGTATATTCTCAGTTGAAGAGAATTTCCCTACTGATAGGATGGATCTTTAGATAGGTGGCTTGTCCCTCACTCATACATTCTCTTTTAACAATCCCAATAATCATTTTGAGGTAGGGTTTTTATTATTGTTGGTTTAGATTATTTTAAAATGTTGATTGGCTGAAATTCTATGATCACAGATAACTCACCTTGTAATGATGTAGTAAACAAGTGTTTTTGCACTTATTCTTGATTATTTGTCTTTAAATGCTACCCCCCAGGAGGTAATGGTAGTTACTATGCATTCATAGTAGCTTTATATATATTTTGGAAAGAATGTAGCATTTATTGTATATATATTTTTCAGTCGCCTTTGAAATAGGGTTGACATGATTACTTGAGAATGTCTAGATACTGGTACTTTAAAATACTGTGGTGGTTTACGGTGTTTGTCTTCTTCATATAATCAGGTTCCATATTGTGGATTAGAATTTTGGAAAAAGTAACATTTATTCCAAATAATGATGCTTATTTGTTATTAATGCTTAAAATTATGTAAATTTCAGATGATAAGTTTACTATATAGTGGAATGTCTGAATTCACCTACCTCTCAAAATTAGTATATGTTACTTATTTCAGCTCTGATTGTGATTAAATATCTGATTCACTTTCTAAGAAGAGGGATCAATAAGGACCTTAATTAAAGGCCCTGTGACAGAGAAGGGGACATCTCTGTTGACTGACACGATGGTAATAGAGAGAGGGCCTGGCCTCATGATGGACATGGCCTGTCTTTGGATATCTGTGTGAATGTCCTCGTAACTGAAAGTGGCTTCAAGTCTGTGGCTCTGGAACCTGTTTATTTCTATGCTTTTCCATCCTTGAATATGTACTTGATTTTAGAGGGACTATTTAGAAATGTGTTTTTCATGTAGAATTTGCACATACTTCACACGGAGTGTTTCTGTGTTTTGTGTTTCTGGTGTACGTACATAAAGAAAAACCTTTGAATTAGGGAAGGCCAGAATGTTTACAGTATTTTTAATATGTTACATTTTAATAGGCTGGAGTCAGCTGGCTGCGATGCATTGTGTGATGCTGCCAGATCTGCTGGGACTGGACAAGTTTCGGCCTCCGCTTCTAGAGATGCTCGCTCGGAGATGGCAGGATCGATGCTTGGAGGTAATGTCGAGGTGACATGGACAGAAAACAAAATCATTTACAAGGCATTGGACAAGTGTAAATTTTAAACAAGATGATTAACGTATGTCTAATTTCTTATCACCTATTTATTATGTGATAGGAAATATGGATTCATGATTTTTTTTCAGTTTATGTACTAAACAGCAGTGTTTTGCTTGCATATTTGTTTACTTTTTTAACTAGTAAGTATTTGATAAAAAGTTTCATATACTTTATGGAACTGGTTCTTAAATATTGCTTTCTATAGATTGTGCACATGTGTTCACACACACATGCAATACACCCACGTCCCCCAAAACCGCATGCTCAGGTATAATCTCACCAGTCAAATTCTAACAGAATAGCCTTTGTCCAATAGAAGGGACTGTGTTATAATAAAAGGAGAAGGTCTTTGGACTAGAAGAGACCTGGATTTAAATATCAGTTCTGCCAATTATTAACTCTGTGACCCTGGGCAATTTACTTAACCTATTTGAAGCTCATTTGTAAAGTGGGGATAATAATATATTACTCATGGGATTGCTGTCAGGGTCAAATAAGGTAATGCAAGTAAAATAGTTAGTGCAGCATCTGACACGCTGTAGGAGCTCAATAAATGATAGCTATTATTTTGTGCTAATGGACTATGCTGTATTAGATATTGCTTGGCATATAATATCACCAGGGACTTGGAAACATTTTAAAGAGATTTTCCTTATTATGGTATTTGACCTATATAGCTGTAGCAGTTTGTATCATTCAAAATTTTTAACTTACCAAATAGAATTAACATATTTGCTCCTTTTCTTGTCTTCCCTCCCTCTATTCCAAGTGGAATTGCAGCATACTAAAATTTTCATGGTTTTGCCTTGAATAACATTTTAATTCACTTTAAAGTCAATTATAAGTAAAAACATTTTTTATTCAGACTCGTATCAGATGCTGCTGTTACCTTTTCCATTATAAATGTTAATTGATTGGTACATCACTGGACAATTGACTAGCTTCTTTAACTCCATGCCTGTGGCACTTTTGCCAAAATAAAAAATAAACTAAAACTGCAAAATAAAAGTTGTTGAAAGAAAAATAAAAATAATACAATTTTGAAAACTAGTGTTCTTCTATAGAACTCATTACAAGGGAATATATCTGTTGAAAACACGTTGTTTAAGCATCTCTTAGGTATATATGAATGTGTGAATTAATACATGCATGGTGTGTAAACAATACCTATTTAGTATATATATATGTATATTATAAAAATTCACTAGCTAAGGTTAAATTTCTTCATGCTAAAAGAGAAGACAAATTTAATAGTTCTAACGACTTTTGACAATATTTATATAGAAATTTTGAAATTGAATGTGCAAAATTAACATGCAAGACTCTTTTAAAAGCTTTTGGAAAAAAGAAAATTTAAACCCAGAGCTGATTAAATGTACAAACATAATTTAGTCTATTAGTGTTAAAATATTTTTCAATGAAAACAGTAATTAAAATGTCTTTGATTTGCAGGCATCCAATTTATTCCACTTAAAAGTCCTTAATTTCCTGTTTGGTTAGTAGTTTTTGTCATGTGGACAAATGTGGTTTATATAGTCTCATTCTGACTTCCTAGTTTTAAACAGCTCACCTACTGACCTGCTTTTCTCACATTGGGATCTGTGGTCTCAGGTCAGAGAAGCCGCGCAGGCCCTGCTTCTGGCCGAGCTGCGAAGGATTGAGCAGGCGGGCCGGAAGGAAGCCATCGATGCCTGGGCTCCGTATTTACCTCAGTACATGGACCACGTCATGTCACGTAAGAGATCTTATGCGTTTCCACAAAGCTTTCCGTGCTCATTAGAAAAGTACCAAAACAAAAGTGTGTCATTTACCTTCTAGTGAAAACAAGGGCCTCAAATTCGCTCATGCATTTTCTGAAATCCCTAGGAATTGGAGTTTGGTTAGGAAACAAAACAAAACAAAACAAAAAGCAAAAGTTATATAAATATCAAGATATTCACTAATGGATTGACCCCTTATAAAATTAATCCCCCCCCAAATCCTACCCTATTTAACACTAGTCTCTGTGTCTGCCCATTGCATTATGTCTAACAAGTGCCAGCTTGTTAGATATTGATCATGTGATATGCAAGTACAAACACAGGCAGATGCTTTCTAAGTTGAAGTTAGGATTGTGAATCCTTCAAAAATAAAGATCTGGTAGCCTAGTGTACTATTGAAAAAGGGAAAATTAGCAAGGGTTTGACTAATGAATTTTTCAAATGAATACAAGTTGAAGGGATTGGGAAAGCCCTTGGGAAAAATTGTTGAGATTTTATATGTATATATTGTTAATCCCCCCCAGAGGATATTTTTCCAATGCTTTTCAGAGAAAGTGGAAGGGTGGTTGGGAGGGATCGATGTGAGAGTGACACATTGATTGGTTGCCTCCCGCATGTGTCCTGATCAGGGAGTAGGGGATGAATCCGCAACCTAAGTAAGTGCTCTTGACTGGGAATTGAACCCATGACTATTTGGTGCGAGTTTGGGGATGGGGCATGCTCTAACCACTGAGAAATACTGGCCAGGGCAAAATATTTTTTGCATAATGAAATCTTTGTACTCATGCTGCTAGGTCAAATGTGCACTGAGGAAAAGTTGTATTTGGGCATTCATAATTTTTTTTTTTCATTTTGGAAAAGGTATGCTTCATCCCAATTCAGCATTTGAGTCATTCTTTATTTTCCTAAAGAAGAATTCAGAATTAAAATTTTAATCTGTTATAAGATAAATAAATCCATTTTAGCTGTTTTGTTTTTTTAAAGATAAAGTCTCAATGAAACTTTATAAAAACATTTTACTCTGAAAATTTGGCCTGGCTTTTAGGTGGATTCAATTTAAATGACCTTTTGCCAATACCAGTTATTCCTGTTAATGAGATACTCATTACATATGTCAAGAGAGACAATGCATGATTGTATAAGAAGGAAATGAAAACCAGATTCAAACAGGATTACAATTGTTACAACTAGTATAACTCTACCAGATGTTTGCCAGTGGTGACTACAGTGGTTGTTTACTTAGGTATGTGACCTTGGACACTTAACCTTTCTCAGTCCAGTTTTGTCACAGATGAAATGAAGATAGTGAGACATTATAGGATTATTCTGAGGATGGAATGAGTTAATCTTTATTAAGCATGTCAAACCATGCATAGGCCATGGTAAGCACTATATATTTATTTATTTTTAAAAATATATTTTATTGATTTTTTACAGAGAGGAAGGGAGAGGGATAG